TGTAGCGTATTCGTTCCCGAACGACGAGGTCGAAATGGAGCGCCTCGACATGGCTCATGCCATGATGGTGAGGGCGATTGGAAGCAAGCTCTGGCTGGCCCCACTGGCCAAGGAGAAGGTCCATCGTATCCTGGATATCGGCACGGGTACTGGAATCTGTACGTCCCATCGCGCAACTTAGTGATCGTCGAAGCCATGCGTTGCTAATCGCTTGCGGGCCGTAGGGGCCGTTGAGATTGGTGACATTTTTGAGAACGCCGAGGTGAGTTCGTGATAAGTGAGATTGGTGATGATTCGCTTTGCTAAGAGATGGGCAGGTTATTGGGAATGATCTGAGTGCTATCCAACCTGAATGGTGCGTCAAGTCTCGTCATGAATCCCTCTCTGATGATTCCAAAGCTCACTCTTCTTCTCTGGACTCTAGGGTACCCCCGAACGTCAAGTTTGAGATTGACGATGTCGAGAGCGAATGGGTTGGCGTTAAAAAGTACGACTTTATCATGTGCCGCTACATGGCCGCCTCCATCCAGGACTGGCCGAAGCTGATCGCCAACATTTACGAGTACGTAACCCTGTTCCCATTCCCTCTAACTTGTCCCATCTTCATTCTCATGACCCCCTCCACAGCAACCTCAACCCAGGAGGCTGGGCCGAGTTCCAAGACATGAGCACAGAATACTACTCCGACGACGGCAGCTACAAACCCGAACACGCAACCTACGAATGGAATCAGACCTTTGTCGAAACCCTCGACAAGATCGGGCGCGATCCTCGGCCCGGACCGAAGCTCGAGGGCTGGGTGCGCGGGCACGGCGGGTTCGAGCACGTGGCGCACCACAAGTTCAAGACGCCCATCGGGCCGTGGGCGCGGCACCGGCATTTCAAGGACCAGGGGTTGCTGAACCTGGCGCAGATTCTTGAGGGGTTGGAAGGGTTCTCGTTGAAGCTGCTGTGCGGTGTTTTGGGGAGGAGTAAGGAGGAGGTGTTGGTGCAGCTTGCGGAGGTGAGGAGGGAGTTGAAGACGGGGGTTTTTCATGCTTTGTTGGATTTGTGAGTTGACATCCTTTCCTTGTTTTCCCTTTCATTGTTCACTGTGGACGGTGGCTCGAAGATTGATTGTGGCTAACAAGCTTTGTGCGCGTAGGCATGTGGTGTATGGGCAGAAGCCTGCTCTACCGGCTGCTACAGCGGGGACTGAGTAAGTGTGAAAGTGTCGTCTGACATTGGGATGTGTAGCATCTCCATGTATGGCATTTAGGCCTACAAAGTAGACTCCGTTCTTCATGGCTCATAGTATAGCGATGTAGCATTTTGATGTAAAGGCTTGAATCCTACGCAGATGACTTTGTGTTTGACCTGATTGGCTCAAGCGTGTATTGATTATGCTGGAGCTGGTCTAAGTCTGACCTCTCGCCCGCTCATCTCATTTCATCTTTCAAGGATTTGACTCTCACTCGGGTTCCTCTTATTTGAGTTCCTCACAGGTGATCATCAGCTGGGTGAATGAATGAGCGAGTGAGCGCACAGTCTTCAGCCCTATGAGATGAACGGGTGGTCCCGAGTGCCAAGTTCGGACGACGCAATGGAAGCGAGTAAACGTGGAGACGGTCAAATCATCAAGATGGAACCTGGAAGCGACCAGAAAAAGCCCAGAAAAATACCCGCCATCAGCGTTCCGATCTGCCGAAACAAACGGGCAGAAAGCCAATCTGACGTGCAGTCGCACCTGCAGCCCAAGGAATCCCATTACGAATCGCCCGTCACACGGCGCGCACCTTCTTTCCCTTAGGCGCAACCCGATCCCGTCGGGAGGCCCCCTTATTTTCTTACCTCAGCCATTCTCTTTTTTTCTTTTTCTTTTTTTGCCCCCTACGGCCCAACTCACCTTGCCTTCCTGACCTTGGTCACTTGACCCCGCGACGACACGTCAAATCCCCCGCCAACCACGTGCAATTCTCTCTCATCCCTCCAACTCCCAACTGTCACTACCGAAAGAAAGAGAAGAAACACAACAGCCTGGAGTGAATAAAAATGTCGCTCTTTGGCAACTTTGACGTCGCCAAGCTGGCATCACAGCTGGGCAACTTCAAGATCCCCGACGACCCAGAGATCATCAACCAAGGTGAGTGAGCGAATGAGATACTTTGCGACAATCCTCCAACCTCAATCTGCTCTCTGCCCCTCGTAATTTCGCAAGATCCCCACCTTCCTTATCTCCAAAAGCATCACAGCAACAATTCCTGACCACACATCACAGGCCACCAGGACTACGGCTACAGCAACTACGGTTCCCACAGCCAAGGCTACGATGGCAGACCACCCGCGGGATACGCCGGTGGTCCGCAGAATGGCGCCGAGGAGTACAAGCGCGAGCACCCCGCCGCCTTCGGCTCCAGTGACCCCACGCGCTCCGCCTACTCCGACCCCGTCTCCGAGGGAAGTGCCATGTCGTCCGTCGCCGCTGGCGTAGCTGCCAGCGCCGCCGCGGGTGCTTACGGTACCGCGCCGCAGTACCCCACTCCGCATCCCGGTAGGTATGGCGATTCCACATCATCTAGCCCGTATCCTCAGCAGCAGCAACAACAGCAAAGCTTTGGACGGCCTCCTTCGCCGGGCTATGGAAGGCCCACTTCTCCTGGTTACGGCAGGCCCCCTTCACCTGGCTACGGAAGACCGCCTTCGCCGCGACTGCCAGAGGGATGGGTCAAGCGGTTTGATGACAGCAGCAGACGATGGTACTACGTCAATCAAGCAACTGGCTCTTCTCAGTGGGAGGCTCCTCCGCCACCGTCGGCCATGTCTCCCCCACCAATGTCGCCCCCAGGCCATGGAGGGTATGGGGAATCATCTCGATATGGCGGACACTCGCCACAGCCGGGATACTCGCCTCAACCTGGCTATGGAGGACATTCACCACAGCCCGAATACGGAGGCCCACCGCCTCAGCCGGGATATGGCGGACCCTCTCCACAACCTGGGTACGGAGGTCATTCTCCACAGCCCGGATACGGAGCTTATGCGGGCGGTGCCGCTGCGGCAGCTGCGGGAGCCGGAGCTGGGTACTATGCAGGACAGCAATACGGACAGAGCCAGCCCCATGGGGGGTACGAGCAGCCTCAACAGTACGGCCAACAGCCACCACAGCAGTACGGCCAGCCCTACGGACAACAGCCTCAACAGCAGTATGGACAGCAGTATGAACAGGGATACGGCAGCGAAGAGAAGAAGAAAAAGAAGAAGAGCGGGAACAGCAACATGTTCCTCGGCGTGGCGGGTGGTCTCGCGGTGGGTGCGCTAGGAGGCGCGCTTATCGCCAATGTTTTAGGTAACGATCAATCACCTCTCCCGGGCCACGGTCTGGACGATTGTTGACCGCGAAAACTGACAATTTCCGCAGATTCCGATTCAGACTCTGATCATCACGAGCACCACTACGAGCGTCGTTCTTCGTCTGGGTCCTCGGACCATTATCGCGGTCGTGATGATAGCGATCGGGGGTCTGATAGGGGGGATTATGAGGAGGGCGGCGACTACTATGATGATTAGGTTGATCAAGTACCGCCGTCTGGGGCTCAACCGTTCCTGGAGGAAGAGGATGAGCAAGAGGTCCAGGAGCAGACTTACAGGGGTCCAGAGGAGTATCGGGACGATGGCGGCGTTGATCATCTCGTGCACACCACCAGGTATGGCGAGGTTGTTCATGATGATATGCAGGGCGCTGAAGATGCCGGCATCGACGTCGACTGTGGTATCATGCACACCACCGGATATGGCGAGGTTATTTATGATGATGAGCCGGGTGCTGACGAGGCTCGCAACATCGATAACTATGCTGGTGACACCTTTGATGACGGCTATGCCGATGACGGGTATGATGATGGAGGCGACGACCATAGCGGCGATGACTGTGGCGGCGATGACTATGGCGATGACTACGTTGATGAGTATGGCCACGACTATTATGACAATTAGGTTAGCCGAGAATGTATCTTGACTAAGAGTTGCCTTCCATCTGGAACAATCCTGAAGCGTTTGCTACGGAGCATACATCTTACATTCTAGGCTTCGACAAATGGCATGAGATGAAGTTCTTCCATCCCCCTATGCGTGTACATCTCGACGCTGAACAGTGCTAAACTCTATATGGCAATGGGTTTGATCGGGTGATATCATCCGGTCTTCTATTTCGTGAAAGCCAAGAGATAGCAGAGAGCGACTGACAGCTTGGCAATCTCTTTTCTAGAATTGAAGCAGACCCGGCGGAGTCGGTCTGTCCTGGGCCCTGGCGCACTCATTTCGTTGCCGTCCTGACTAGGATGTGAATGGCGCACGCTCTCCAAGACGGCCTGCCCTGCCGCGTCTCGCAAGCATCACGGACCATAGAGTAGCCCTTTACTCAGTAGCGTCGCGAGGCGTAGGAAGTGAGAAAGAGTATCGGCAACCAGTCCCCGACGGAAATATAAGTCCACTGAGGGATGAATTTGAGTATTTGTACTCTGGAAGGCTCCATAGGCCGGGACAATGCTCGCAGAATACTACTCTCGGCGCCGTTGAACGCAAACCGCCGGCAGTTGTAACCTATGGGGGCGAGCCCTGAAGCCGTGCGTCCCGCGGGATCAGACGGCACAGGGCAGTATTGCCTATGCTTATTGTGTGTTGGGCACTCGCCCCGTCTGATAATTGTTGCTGGGATGAACTTATCAATTAGAGTTTGAATAACACGTAGAACCGTGAACGTGCCCCCCAAGCCTCGTTGCGCGCGACTCAGTATAGAGTTTCCCGTTGTAGCTTGTTTCGGGTACGCGGCTTGTCCGTTGTTGAAGATCCTCACTACGGAGTACCCCGTAATCATTCTTGATACTTATAGCTGGCCCGTCATCTTTCTGTGCACACCTTGTTGTTGGAGTATGTCTCGACTGCTGTCAGTCTCTACCTTGCACCCTATATTCTGTCGCAAATACGTTCCAGCGATTCTTGTAAATAATTACCCAAACGCAAACATGAAGTTCCAAGCCGTTCTTTTCGTCAGCTTCCTTCCCTCAGTACTGGGATGGTGGGTATGTTGAAACCTCGAAGGAGTCTGATGACGCACTGTAGCTGACGGATGGGTATAGAACTGCAGACTTCCTAAGGGAGGTGACCTCGGTACATGCCTTTGGGATGGCGACCTGAAGACGGAATTGACTTGTGGCCAGGTAAAGCTCTCTCTTCTACTTTTGGACATGATTCTCACCATCTTTGTCTGGTTTGAACGGGTCAAGTTGCTGATTTGTTTGTGTGATAGGACCACCCGTGCAAGACACTTGGCAACGGATGTATTCCTATCGGTTCGGGAATTGCGAACTGCTCGTAGACAAACAGAGGGTGTGCACTTTTGGATACGGAAGTACCTTAGGTCCAAGAGGTGTTGCTGGATGCTGCATGTGGTCTTAGATTATTACGGTGATATTTTGGAAAAGATTCCCTCCTAAGTTCTTACTTGGATTCGGCTGCAATATTGACTTCATTGATACTCAATCAATAACCCAAGTATGTAGCGAAGACAACAACAAAATGCCTATTGCTAGAAACCTCGAACACACTTCTAACTACTACGGTATCGGTACACTTCCAAGATCAACCCAGTCATCCCCGCTCAGCATGACTTCTCTCACCAAATCACCTCAATAGATGGAATCAAGTACAGTTGGTAGACGTTGAAGTATCAAAATTTCGAGTGAGGGTATTCGCAGGAATTCGAGCGATAGGTTCTGGGTGGAATCCGAACGTTGGCAGCCATTAGAGTTTTCTTCCTCTCATGTTGTCGAAAATGATAGCAGAATCTAGAGGAGTCTGCGCTTCAAGACGCTGAAGTAGAGAAGTAACTAGCAAAACAACGCCAGCCTCAAGAAATGTCGAAACGTTGCTTCCTTCTGAGCCAATCAGCCCGATCATACCCTAAGAGTGCATTGGCTATAAGAAGCCAAGGCCGCAAGCGTTAATCATGAGCACAAATAGTAATGGCTCAAATAAACCACATAAGGTCTCCCAGATTCGGCATTTGCTGCAGGGAGCTGACCATACCTATGCAACGCGGCAGCTGTCACCAATGACAGGTTAGAATGCCGCGACATCACGCTTAGAGGAGGGTGTGCTCGGAATGACGATAGGAATAAAAATGCGCTGAACCTTTATTGAAGCTCTTGGTGAGAAGTTTTGGATGGAAACACAGCAGGATCTTTGTAAAATGGCCTTCTTTTTCTCACATCAACGATGTATGACATGGGAACAGACATTTCACACGTTCCTCTTTCACTTCCGCGAGAACTCATATGTCCTTGACCGTTGATGTATATGAATGTATCGCCTTGTACCGTCAATGCACACTTATTTATTACTAGAATTCTCTATATGTGGCCATTGGCCGTAATTCCGTCGCAGGAAGTGGGATTGGGACTGATAGACACCCCTACCACCTTATGCGATATATCATGCCAAGCCAACATCGCCTTTCCATTGTTGCCAAAAACACTTTCCAAGCAGAATTCGTGTTCGTATTGAAAAGTTCTGCAAGTTTTTACCGTAATTCGCCAATCAAGTGGCGGCTAATGAATTTAGCTGCGTGTACAGCCAGCTTTGTCCACCTCCATCTTCAGAGCCTGCCGCACGGCACAGCTTGTGAATGACAGCCTGCATAACTATTGAGAGCTTCGCCCACTCGTGACGTCACAATTGTCAGGCATACTCTCGAAGTGGAAGAACAATTTTCTCTTCTGAATTTGTGTCGTGAGGCGTAAGAAATTGCAGCATGAAAGCTGGCCGGAACCTGCTGCTTAGCTATAAAGGGCCCAGAGAACAGCTGGTTTGCCCGAGTGCAGACTGATTGTATATATACATATGCACTCGAAATTCTCCTAAAAACGCTTTCTTCCCATGGATTATCACATCATAGGGCATCTAAAAACAATTTTCCTACTACGGCGGACATTTTTAGTCGCACGGCAACATGGTTAATTGCGAAAATGATGCCGAGGACCTGACCGACCCTGATATCATGGGGTTTGGGGTAAGCCTTTATCTTTCGAGGGGTTTGTCTCAGTACTAACGCAAAAAAGGTCCTGCTATCCTTCGTTTTCCCAGTCCTAGTATCCCATGTCATCATGACCATGGCCTACGTCACTCGCAGGGCGAACCCTGAGGATTTTACCCAGATGGACTCCATGATACACAAGAGACTAGGGGCATACGAATCGAAAATTTCTCGCCTGCGTGGTGTGAGATATGAGCATCTTCTCTTGACCATCAGCGACCAGCTCTCAGTCACTAGCTTCGCGCTTCTTGTCGCATTATACTCACAAATACTCACGATTTCGTCCTTTTCGTTTTCTGTGGGCGTATCACTTGCCTTCCTCTCCTTCGGTGTTCATACAAACTGCCTAAATGGCCTGACACCATACTTAAGACTACATGAAAGGCAGGCAAAGTTACGCATAACTTTCTTGACATTACTAGTGGTCTGTCTTCTGGTTAGCAGTATCCTTGATAACTTATTCACTTCCCTGGGTCTGAATTGGGAGAAACTTGCCGCATGCGCAACAAGAGGTTCAGGAACTACTTGGCGCTGTCAATTCTCGCCGCAGTTGCATTTATCTGGGTTTTCGGCATGAGCTATTACGATGCCGTTGCCCGGCTTTACTCATTTCTTCCTCTGCAAGACAACACTTTGCGCCTTCTGTGCTTCACCGATGAGTCTAGAAAGGATTTCAGGATTCTTTATCAGCAAAAGACGCAAAAGGAAACCGAAGAACACAAAGCAATGCTCCGGAAACTGTATAGCAAGGACACGAAATTTTTTCATACTCCAAGACTGGCGATCCCGGTTTTGATCGACGACATGGTGGATTCCATATTTTGGAGCCTCTTCCGAGACATGTCATATACGGTGTATCTACTCTACAGCCTAGTCTCTATGATTGCTTTGGCGGGGGAAGAAGAAGTCGAATCGTTATTAGAACCTAAGTTTGGTCAAATCTTGCCTCTAATCCTCCTCATAGTCTTTATCATCAACGTATTTGACGCCGAAGGTAGCTTACATTTCTTTTTCTCAAGTGAATCTAATAACAACAAATTGACTGACATATTTGTAGAAGAAAGAGAAGACACCAGGGTAGTATCAACAAATGAGATACAGGAGAACTCAGAGAATTCCGGGGAGAGTCATGTGGCACTGAACGTCCATAACTCCTCGACAACAGGACAATCTAACCTTGCCGGTGGGCAAGACTCCGGGCTCTCGACACCTGGCAGATCAAGGACCTCTTGGATGGAGTCAGGAGCCACTGTGAGTCTATTTCTTCTCTCCTACATCTTTCGCTTGCTTTTGATGTGGGAGTTTTGTTTGATAACTACAGAACATCTATGTTGACCTGACAATAATCCATGTTGTAGCCCAACGACTTTGACTTGCAGGCTGAATACGAGCAAGATCTCAAAGCAGCACTGAGGATGAGAAATATCAGACTGCAGTTGGCGCAAGTAACAGCAGAAAAGGTGCCATGGTGTGCGTGGGTGGTTCTATGGACCGCGATCGCGATGCAAGCCGGCTTTGTGGCGCTCTTGGTGTTTCGTGGTGCGTGGGTGGCATTATTGATGTCCGCCTATGCCGTTATTACGTTTTTCAGTTCCGTTTTGCGGGGACTCTGGGAGATACGCAGAATCAGGGCCAGCACCAAAGCGATGTAGAGTCTAAGAGAGGGCAGGCTGAATGGGCACGAGAGACGGGTGGATGAAGTATCGTGAAGTCATTACATCGCGACCGACATGGAACTTTCATCAGATGCAATGGCTTGAACAGCGACTCACTAAGAGTGAAAAACCTTCATGGATCCTAACGTCTTGATAAATGAGGTCTTGGGCTCGCATCGTGTCAGTGAATTTGTAATTTCCGATGCTTGCGTAACTCAAACTATGGTCGGGCTGTATCTGGGCACTATCATGTATGGTTTCGCGCAAAGTTGGATCCTCATTTAGTACAGAAAACAGCCTTTGAGTCAATAGTTTTAAGGTAGCGATGGTGCTTTTGTGTTATAGAAGCAAGGCAGTGTAATGTATCCCATGAGGCGTGGAATGTTCATATTTTTTCTGTTTTGTTTGTCAATCATGTTCGTCATTCTTTTCAAGCTGTAATTGCATGTAGCAATGAATGCAGAAGTTGGCGATTTCAAATGATATTGAGTTGTGTTCACTGCTCGTCCGCAGAAGCTCAAAGCACCGAGTAATTTGGCTCTAAGTTGACGTCGTGGGCAACTATTGAAGCTTTGCTAGTCTCCTGTTGTCGTAAATGATGACAGAATCGAGAAGTGTCTGCGCCCCCAAAGCACTAGATAACACCAACCTTTAGTACATGACTCCTTGCCTTTCGAATACGATCATGACTTACCAATCCTCCGGATTGCAATACTCTTCTGGGTGATGACTGATACCGTCTTTGCAGGGTACAAATATCATCGTTGTTGGACAATGCTTGCTCGTATTCACACTATCGTGTGTCGCGCCGCTCGTCATACGAAGCCAGCCATCGTGTCCCACGATACCGTTCGCTGCTGTTTCGACAGCCCATACACAGTCCTCATCAAAAATGGTGGCGGGGGAATCCACATCGATGCTCCAGCTCAGCTCCACGCCGTTTTCGCGGCAAATCTCCTGGAAAGAGGCGAGACATTGATCCTGGACCTCAGAGATGGTCTTATTATCTGGATGGCGAATATCTAGTGTGAACATTGCCTGCGAAGCAACTGCATTGGTCGACGATCCCGGAGGAACTTTGATGATTCCTGTGGTCACGAAAGCCCCAGATGTCTGGGCCAGTTCATTCGAGGCCGCAATCATCTTCGCCGCAGCTAATAGCGGATCTTTCCTCGCTGAATAAGGCGTCGTACCCGAGTGAGCACTCCGGCCGGCTACGGCAAAAGTGAGCCATCTGCAGGCTTGTACGCCTCGAACAACTCCGATCTTTCTCCCTCTGGATTCCAACAAAGGACCTTGTTCGATATGTAGCTCAAAGTGCGCCCCTACCGGGTAACCTTGAGTTGCCGAACACGAAGTGTTCCCTAAGTATCCGTGTCTCTCGAGTTCTGACTTCATTGTGATGGAGGGATTTGAAACATCTCTCAGATCCCAAGCCCTTTGTATTGGTATTTCTCCTGCCCAGACTTTGGAGGAGACTGTTGTGCCAGGAAACCTGGCGCCCTCTTCACTATGGGGCTAAGTCAGCGAATCTAAATCCATGAGGGGCTCGACGGGCGGAAGCTGGATTTGCGTACTTTGTCCAATTGATGACTCCAATATCGAATTTAGAGTGATAGCCATTCTCTTTCATCGTTCTAAGTGCTTCGATACCAGCAACGACCCCTAGGATGCCATCGTACCTACCGCCTTGGGGCTGAGTATCCAAATGGCTGCCCATCGCAGTCATGGGCAGTTTTGAGCCCAGTGATCCTCTTTGCCTAGCAAAGATGTTGCCCATCTGATCAACTTTAACATCGCAACCCAATCTCTGCGTCTCTTCTATGAACCATCGTCTCGCGGTGGCATCTTCATCTGAGAGAGTCAGCCGGGCCATGCCAGTTTCATTTGGGCCTCTGGTGAGTTGTCAGCGATTCAAGAGGCTCCTTCGGAAGGATGACTAGGCTTACCTGCCATATCGATGAGCCGCTCCCCATTGACAAGTATGGTGAATTGTTTCTTGAAGACGATCGGCGTTGATCTTAAGACCTGACAAGCCTCGGGAAAAGGTCGACGACCGGCGCACGAAGTAGAATGCCTGAGGCGCTGATGGCCTTCTTGGGAACATCCTGTCGCGATGATTTGATATGCGACTTTACCATATGTTCAATTCTGTAGACAAAGCACGCCGTTTTGTGGTTTGGACGACGATCATTGGGCTACCACTCGGGTAAAAGCCGTTATCTCGGAAGCAGTGCCGACAATCTGAGTGAGGGGTAGGTATCATGCCCCCCGGCAGTGGATTTCGGTGCCAGCTTCACCGATTGACACGATAGGTAGCAGACATTGGGCAATAACAGAATAAATGGGTAGAGTTACCGAGTTCATTCTCTCAATCCATTTTCGAAAAGTTTATTCAGTCTTGCCGACGTAATAGTCTTTGATGGCACAGGAAATATGCGAGTTTCTCTCTTTCATTGACCATTAGTAACTTCAAGTCTAGCCAACCTGTCAAGCAGCATCGTGACAAAGGACACGTCCTTTATGCAGAAATAGTGATTGAAAGATTCTAAAAAACATTGTTCTAAATTTGCGTAGTTGCATTGGCGTAGATGTTGAGCTTGCGTGTGTGCATACAGTTAATCAAGCATCAGCGGCGTATTTGCCTTTAGCCTTGCATATCGATGAGGCTTCTTCATTGGACGGTCTCTTTCGGTTCCTTCTGGCTGGAATGTCACGAAGAAGGCTACTATTTATTACATACTTCAACTTGGCTTTATACCCATCCTTGATGGGCATTTCCAGTCCTCTCAACGCAACATCAACCTGCTTCTGGCTTTGGTTCATGCCCGGAACGGCCATTTTGGGCCTTCAACATACCAACAACGAATCAAAGCCAATTGAACCAGATGTGTCAGCAATGCCAGTTGGCCAGGTTCTCTCTCTTTGCCTGAATTAACGAATCAAAGCCAATTGAACCAGATGTGTCAGCAATGCCAGTTGGCCAGGTTCTCTCTCTTTGCCTGAATTGAGAGGGAAAAAACAAAATTTAATCATCCGCGTGATGCATCCGCCGGTAATCGAAACCGGGTCCCTTGCTATTCCGAATAGGAATGGAAGGCAAGGATGATAACCACTACACTACAGATGCGGATGTGGTGATGATCCACTCGCCATTTTTAGTACCCATGTACTGACAGCGGTACCGATGACTGCCGAAGTGCGTCTCACGAGCGGCTGTATGCTCCAGACGCGATTTTGAATCATTGGAGTTTACGAGACCTTCAAATCTCGCACCGTATCGCGTCAAACTTGGACGCGTTTTGGACGCGTTAGCCCGGTTTTGGCTCTTGAGTGCGCTCTTTGATGAGGTGCCTGCACGAAGGTTTACTGAACTAGAATTATCTTCAGGCCATCTTAACACGAAGCCAATAAAAGCATAAGGTGTTCTTCTCAGTTAGTTAATCCAACTGTGGGTGATGGTGCTTGTCCATTCTGCTTACAGAGTATCCTTGGCGTTTAGGCAGACATACTTCTTTATCGCTTACTATGGTCTGATTTCTCCCCCAAACCCATACCCTATCACAATTTGCAACGATCACCATCAGTCCGAAGGTACCCAAATCGGCGCGTCTGAGCAGATCACCACCTTCAAAATGGGTCTGACGGACACGCCTTCCCCTCACGTCCCCTCGTGGGTCGTGCCAGCCTCCGGAGCCCTTCTCATCACAGGCGCCATCTTCTGGGACATGTGCTATGTACTCATGTCAATCCGCTCCCACAGAACAAAATCATACGGCATACCCCTCTTCGCCCTTGCGCTGAACCTCTCCTGGGAACTCATCTACGCAGCTCGCGTCGCTGAACACCCTCTCGAACGTCTCGGCTTCCTTGTCTGGCTACTTCTTGACGTACCGCTCGTCTACACGACCCTCAAGAACGCGAAACACGAGTGGCGCCACGCGCCGCTTGTCGCGAAGAATATCGGCGCTATCCTTGCGATTATGGTAGCCCTTGGCTGCGCGGCGAACTACGCTGTCGCGGACTGGTGGCTGTCGGCGCCCGGTACCGGGCACGGAGACAAGAGTGGCAAGTGGTGGGCCGGACGGGAGGGATTCGACTGTACGGAGCTCGCCTTCTGGACGGCTGGTCTGGCGCAGTTCGCCCTTGGGACGGGATGTCTTGCCATGTTGCTCGTCAGGGGTCACTCTGGGGGCGCGAGTTATGCGATCTGGTGAGTGTTTTCCGTTTGTCTGGGCCTCCTTCGCTGTCTTTGCCTCATCCGATCGGTGGGCGGGTTGGCTTCTCTCGTCTCATGAGAAAACATCCATACGTGATGAGGGTCACCGACGTGCTGGGTCAGAATATCTCACTGTATGCCGTGTTTGCGTCGTCTCCCCTGCCACTGGTGTGCGATATACGCACACCCGCTTCCTCTTCTCGTTCATCCTCGAAACGTGTCATCTTGACGCGTGTTGATGCCATTCCAAAAGAGCTATCTGCAGGTCATGGGTTCGAATGCTGTGCCGCTGGAGTTGCTCTGACGTGTGGGGTCTCTTTCCCGGTTCTCGTTTTCATCGTTCCTTTCATTCTGTCGTATTTGGACGGTCATGTTTGCTCAGTCAGGATAAGCACCCGCTGCATTCGGTGAGAGGGGGTTTCGGGTCATATGAGCACACATCTTATGCTGATCACTTGTTCGAAAGGCTCTGTAGGGCACTTGGCACCCTCACCGGTTGGATTGGCTCAACCGGTCTGCTCTGGTGGTACTGGCCAGAGGCCCATGGTTTCTTCGTCAATCTCATGGGCATCTTTCTCATGACGACGTGTTTGGCTTGCGACACCGCGTATCCGTTCATTCTCGCAGGAGTGCGGAGAAGTGAGCAAGTCCTCCCGGACGGCAGGCTCGTTTCTGGAATATCGGTCAAGAAGTCAGCCGCGCCAATAACAAAGAAAAGGTTATGATCTCGGGAATAACATGGAGGATCGCGATCCTCGTCGATGAAGAGTTCTTGGCCCGGGTTTCCGGCAGGCCGCATCACTTACTCATATTCTGCCACTCCGTTAGACTAGGACCCCTTGATCAAGACAGCGACAACAATTTGGTAGAACCGTTGAAATTTGAAGATGGCTTAGGGATATTCAAGACCTCTCACAGCCCGATCGAGGTAGCGTCGGCCGCCGAGACTTGAGACGCCCGTTATCTGTCACCGATGCAGATCTACTGGCCGGCTTGTAAATCGCGATGAGCACCAACAACATGGTGTGTGCCACGCAACTCTAGACCCGGGGTCCTGGAAACTGGCTCAACCACCATTGGAGGAAACCAAGATATGACGGCTTAGCTATGAGAAGAAAATGTACAGAAGCTCTAACAGATTGCGGAAACTGTGTGATTTCAGCAGGGGTCTTTGCGTTTTGGTGGCTGCAAAATAATCCATCTCATCGTTGGGCTTTGGATGATTGCTGTGTTGGTTGTTGGTTGGCGGCACTTACATGAGATGAGCGGGATAATGTCTGCATTAAGACGATGACCGCAGCGGAACGAGGTGACATCGGGGAGTCGGTCAAAGGTCCGAACCTTTTCCATACTCAGATGGAAATTTATTGGATTCCCCAATCTCATGTGCCTCTTGATCGTCAACGATTCCCGTCACCCCCTGGGTTGTGTCAGCATCGTGATCTCATCGGAGCATAATTTAGCACATGCATCGAATCAACCAACAGTCTACCTTGCGGGCGTGTGCAGGTATGACTCCACACCAACAAAAAATGACGGTGTGTTCGTACGATAGATGCAGCAACCTGGACTGCAGACTTGTCAAGCTTGCATAAATACTATAGCAAAACAGACAGCGGCTTGCAGCGAACCACCTGCAGAGCGCACCTTCTATCACGTCACACAAGCCAGCTATCACAAAACGCATCGAATCAAGTGATGTTGGAGACCAAATTCTGCATGGATCTCCCGGGCTCCTAGCAATCAGCTCGTCTAGACAGCCAACAGGAGACAGCGCAAGTGAGCTTCACGGCTGTATTCAACGCCAAGTGACCGAGAAGCAAGCGCCCAGCCAGCCAATCTCATAATGCCATTTCCGCCTTTGTGTGGCTGTTATCTGGCTGGATGGGCTGAATTAGCCTGCATATGTTGGGAACGAACGATTCGTATCATGTTCGCTTCGAATAAACCTTCGTTCTCATAGATTTGTATACCTCGCTCGTCTGAAGACGGGGGTATAGCCTGGACCAGTGGGAGTGTTAGGATAGAAAATGACAACCAATATGAGTTTGCACCTCACAGATAGTCATGGGCGGTCGTTCCAGATAAGAGACTGGAGAGGAACCCAACTGCTGTATCTCATGAATGACCTGCAATTCAGATGCCCTAGCAAGTTTGGTCAGAAAGCGGACCCAGCTCGACGATGTCCAATTAACCAAATCTATGGATACATAAAGCAATGTACGTGTGAGAGAGTATCAACACGATGTCGGTCTTGCTCTTGCGCAAAGTCGTGCCCTTTACACCATTTCCCCATTCAAGATGCCGCTGGCGGAGCGGGATGTTGTTCCATTTCGGCCCCGTGCTCTAGGGCTGGATGCGCCGGTCGGTCCGGCTCGCCGTCCGGGCAAAATTGACTCTTCGGCTATGAGGCAGGCTGCATGATTTGGGTTTCAAGGGCCTTTCACGCTGGGGAATCGGGATTGGGATTCCATGACAGCTGCAGGCCCACGCATTGAAGGAATCAACTCTCAGTAATTGACGGTAAGCCACGTTGAATATCAAAGCCAGCGAGAGTGAGGTGGAAGCTGATACACCTGATCCTTGTCCATTGTTCTTGGGCACTGTGCAAGGTCACGATATTTGGGCTTTACGGATACTTTGCATGTACGAATACATTCGTCCTTAGCCAGGGGCGCCTCTATTGCATATCCTTCCGGACGTGTCAAAGATAGGAGGAGTCTGGCAGGGCTGGGAGACCCAGTACGGCCCTTTTCAAAAGCTCCCTTCAATCTGGAAAGTGGAGGACGGGGGCAATGGGCATATCCGTATCCATAGACAAGTGGCAGGATTGACGCCCAAACACCCACCCAAAACGTGCAAACTCTATATGTAGCACCCTGGCCGGAACTCGTCACATGAGCAATGACACCTGCGAGTCGCTCTGCGGAGACCGTTTCTCGAATGCAACGAGGAAACTCGTTGTTTGTCCCCGTTGCATTCGGTGCGGCCTCGACGTTGCGGCCCCCTAGCAGAGTAGGCAGGATCAGCATATTGGACAGGGTGCTCTGAGCGGGTCGAACGGGGGGTTTGAGTCACATCAGCAATACCCAGGACCCTCCTGACAGCTGCAAGACATCAATTCAGGGCAGTCAAAGCCCCTAAAGCGGTTTTTGATGACCGGGGGGAACGGAGGCCATGGCGGTTCAGCGACGAAGAGCAGTGGTCGAGGCCTCGGGGATGAGGGGTTCTATGAAGCAGAACTAGTTACGCTTGGGCGTTGGAGATGGAAAGTGAATGAGGTTGAGCGGGAGTCTCCGACTGTCGAGCGGTCGAGCCCCGGTGGATTGCTGTCAGTTGGAGTCCACTCGTATCGGCTGCCCTGGCGTGCCTGGATCAGATTTGGGTGAGTACCGCGTAGGCTTGCAAAAGTTCCGGCTGTGCTATACTCAATTGGACCCGTAAAGTTTGAGGAGATTTGCTCGCTGGGCAGGGATAAGAAGAGGCTTGCCTGTAGCAGTGTCAAAGCCTTTGATGCTTGGTGATGAATTGAGGCAGAGCAGACCGCCCCTCAATATCTGGCTGGATGGCTGGTTCATTTGGGGCCCAACGTTGGTGCAAGGAAGCCAGGTGCCATTTGTGC